GGCATCCATCCCCTTAGGCAGATAGCTCTAGTGTGCTTTGCCATAATTAAATACACCACCATACTTAGTGCTGCAGGATGCACATCGTCGTGATGTTGTATTCGATGGCTGATGCTTATTTTCTTGAAGACGAATTGCTGCATCAACTATTGGCTTATGTTTCTTGATTGCCATCTAGTGAGCTACAAGGGAACTCGAGAAACGGTCAGTCTTGAAAGCCACTCACACGAGTGAGTAAGACGTTCAATAGAAAAGGTGGTTATTGTAGTTACCCACCGCTGTTCTAAGAGTTAAATGAAGAAATGGGCAGGATCTACTCAAAGAAGGTGCCCGGCGCTGCATGGAGCATTTGAGAAAGAGAGGTACAGTCAAAAGTCGTTAATCCGCACTCGTCGGGACTTCGGCGATTCCGGATTATCGATCATCAGTTTAAATCTGGTAAAATGGCATGCAGAAATTATAAAATTAAAAAAAAAATATGAAACCGTAATTTACGAAATAAAGAACAATTATGATCTAAAGGGTATCAAAATTTACAAAAAAAAAAAAAAAAAAAAAAAAAAGCTTAATATTTATTTGTTTACTTTATTAAACATTTCTTTCAATGTAAGTTGTTTAAGTTGCTTCGTTTTTTATGTGATAATACATTCTCTTTAATTCCATAAACAGACATAATTTCTTGTTCAGTTACAAAGTTCCGCTGTTCAAGTCCTATAATTGCTGTGTCGAGAATACCGACTAATTTGTCAATCGAAATTATTTCGTTTTCAATAACCTATGTCACTTTCTTCGCTATCGGAAGCGAATTATAATGACGAGGCATTTGATTTAAATCATATCAAAGACGGAGTACATCGAGAGGTAATACCACATTTAGTAAGCAATTATAAGCCAAATAAAATAAAAACATCTGCCCTTAAGATAAGGATAGTGTTGACAGATCAACTTCCAATTCATTGCGCTCCGCGGAGTTAAAGATAAACAAAGGATATGCCTTTATCCATTTTTTGCAGCAATTCCACTTTTTGTTTAATGGACTCCGAAAGATACTTTCGCTTTGTATATCCTTTACATATTAGTAAATATATATCGGAAATTCTATTTGAAATAAACGAAAGTTCAAGCTTACTGTTATAAAATTGCTCTAACAGTCTGCAAAAAATAATAAGCCGGATCCAATTCCAAGATTAAGGAACAACGCAATCTGCAACATTACTTGAAATAGATAATTAGATAATTTTAGCTTAGCTTGTCCCGTCCGTTATACATTAAACGCGCATTCGTAAACGTATTTTGCGCACGCGCACACGCAAATTCGCAGCCGCAAAGGTCTTACGCGCATGCGTCAGCGCGACGCATGCGCAGAAAGTTTGTAGCTTTGAGGTCCGGATTATAGATACGGATTATGGGTGTCCGAATTAACCACTTTTGACTGTATTGGAGAGCTAGAGATCAAATGATAAGATACTGACTTTTACGTTATATATTCACAGAGTTCTGTTCTATTTGCATAATGTTTGTTTTATTCACTACCATTGGAAATAAAAAATAATACACTTGTTGCGTAAAAAAAATTTTATATATTTAAAAAAGTTATTAATTTAAAAAACTTATTGAAGTATTTTAGTGTATTTTTTCCCATTATATTAATTTTATTGAATTTCTTCCTTACTACATGATCAATAAATTGTATCAATAATAATTAATTATTAATTTTATAAACAATATTTTGTAATGAATGGAATCTTGACTATGCCGATCAATTACAGATGCGTATTCGGTTATCGACCCCTTGATCATCACTGACACCCTGTCAAATTTCATCGACCTCCAAGAAGTCCATACCTGTCGCGAACGACGCACGCTCCGCTCTTGGGGAACGGATTGAGCCTCCAGACCGACGAGAATTGAAAAAGAAAGTTTGTTTTTTGAGAACTGGCAACGATAAGTGTATGCTTTTAGAACAGTGACGCACTAGACTAATGACGCCGTTAGATATGTAGAACAATGATGCTAAGTAGTTAGAAGTGTTTTTTTGATAGTGTAATGATTTAGATATTGTTTCTCTTTTGTGTCAAATGTCAAATAAAGTGATTCATACAAAATAGTGCCAATTTTAGATGAGTTTGGAAACCAAATCGGAGTCTACTAAAGCGGCGGACCAGAATCGAAGAACGCGGATCATAAAGGTAAGCAACCTTTCTTCATTTGCTTATCTAGAATTTTGAATGATCTGTTTTTTACTGAATTGAAACGATATAAATTTTTTGGCGCCCGAACAGGGACCGCCGATGTAGACTATATTGAAGTGAAAGATTTAGGAATGTTTAAAAAATATCTCCTTTTGATTTGAGAAGTTTATTTATGATTTGAGAGTACTGATTTTTAATTTGAAATATTTTCTATCTGAAATATTTAAACATGTCTACTAAAATAGAAGAATTAAAGAAAAGACGAACTGTAGTTAGGAGTATGACAACAAAGTTGATAAATAATTGTAAAGAATACCTCCAAGAAACAGAACACGATTTGTGTATTCTTAATGAAAATATTGATTTATTAGATTCAAAATATAACAGCCTAAAAGAATTAGATAAACAAATACAAGAATTAATTGAGGCTACTGAATATGAATCGGAATTTGAAACTTGTGAAGTTTATTCCGAGAAAATAATTTCCATGAAATCAAAACTAACATTTATGTTAAAAGAGAATAGGAAACCTGAAATTCCTGTTTCGAATACAATTGGTAATATTGTGAATAATGATATTTCAAATATTTCTGTATCTCATTCAAAAATTAAATTGCCTAAATTATCGATCAATAAATTTAATGGCGATCCTGTTAATTGGTTATCATTTTGGAACCAGTTTGACAATGCGATACATCAGAATAGTGATTTAACAGATACAGACAAATTTAATTATTTGATATCATTTTTTTATCAGGTGCTGCTTGTAATGCTGTTAGTGGTTTTGCATTATCAAGTGAAAATTATTTTGCCGCAATCGAGTTACTTAAAACACACGCTTTGGTCGAACAGATTTAATTATAAATGCACATATGGGAAAACTGTTAAATTTAGAACCTGTTAGGAATGCTAACAACATATTTGCATTACGTAAGTTGTATGATGATATCGAAATACAGATAAGAAGTTTAAAATCACTTAATGTAACTTCTGGCACATATGGCACGTTATTGACACCAGTTTTATTAAAATTAATTCCGAATGAACTGAATCTTGATTTCCAAAGAAAAAGGAAATCGAAAGATAATTTCGATGTAAACGAATTATTAGAGTTCTTGAAAACGGAAATTGAGTGCCGCGAATCCATGCTACAAATTCAAGATAAAATAAACAACCATAATTCGAGCCACTTTCCTAAAGAAAAAAGAATAAATAAAATTTCTATTCCAACGGCTGCTGTGTTAAAGGTTTCAATTAACAGCTGCATATTTTGCGAGGATTCAGAAAAAGAAAAACATACTTCCGAAGCTTGCCCGAAGTCTGTAACAGACAGAAAGGCGTCACTTCGGAAAACTCGGAATGTGTTATTTATGCCTTAAAAGGGGTAACCATTTGGCAAAAAATTGCTTTTCGAAGATAAAGTGTGATTCATGTGGGTGGAAACACAACAGTTTAATCTGTGACAGAAATAGTTTAGATGAGAAAAAATCAAATAAGAAGGATCTCAATTTGACGAACAAATCATGTTTAGAGAAAGTTTTATTACAAACTTTAGTTGTAAGAGTGCGTGGCAATGGTCCAGAAAAATACTGCCGCTGTTTAATTGATTCTGGGAGTCAACGAAGCTATGTATCTAAATTCTTAGCTAATGCTATGCAGTACGAATGTATTAACGAAAGCAGTGTGATTCATAGTCTGTTCGGAGGAACTGAAGTGGTTGAAACTCATAAACAGTTCGTTGTACGTTTAAGTAGTATCAAAAACGATTATCAGTGTAACTTCAAAGCTTTTGATCAAGCGAATATTTGTTCTGATATTCCACAATTGAACATCAAGCCTTATTTAAATGAGTTAAAAACCCATAACATATTTTTGAATGATGTTGAAGGTAGGCATAAAAAATTGTTGTTCGAGCATTCTCCTTCTGAAATTCATATCCTCATAGGCGCAGACATAGCGGGAAAATTGCTTACAGGGAAAATAAAGAAGTTAGAATGTGGATTAGTTTGCATTGAAACTTATTTAGGCTGGAGTATCATGGGGAAAATTCCCGTAGAAATGGAAAATAAATATGATTGTTCTTATGCATTTTCTATGTTAGTATCAGATAGTAAAAATTTCTGATTTATGGAAACTTGATACTCTTGGGATATTAGACCCTTCAGAAAGTCAAACTAAAAGGGAATTAGAAAAACAAACAATGACACATTTTCTTTCCAATGTGAAAAGAGATGAAGAAGGAAGGTTTCAAGTTTGTTTACCTTGGATTGAAAATCGTTCCCTACTTCCAAACTATCGAGAAATAGCAGAAAAGAGATTAAAGAGCACAGTGAAGAATTTAAGGGATGGGGAATTTTTAGAAGATTATAACGCAATTTTTAAATCTTGGGAAGATGATAAAATAATAGAGATTGTTCCTGAGGAAGAAGTTAATAACCCCTCTCATTATTTACCCCATCGTGCTGTTATTCGAATGAATTCCACCACGACAAAAATAAGACCGGTTTTCGATGGATCCGTAAGAACTAAAGGATCACCCTCCATAAATGACTGTTTGGAAAAGGGTCCAAATTTGATTGATACTGTTCCAGCTATAATAAATAGATTTCGAAAGGAAAAATTGGCGTGAGCGCTGATATTAAGAAGGCTTTTCTGCAGATAGCACTTAATCCTAAAGACAGAGATTATTTAAGATTTTTATGGTGGGAACAGGGAAATTCTGAGCGTTTGAAAATATACAGGCATAGAAGAGTGGTCTTTGGAATAACCAGCAGTCCATTTCTCTTAAATGCAACACTAACGAAATTAATGAATGAAGTACCAGAAAATTATCGTGCGAGTGCTAATAAATTAGTAGAATCCTGGTACGTTGATAATTTAGTTACAAGTGTGAATGATGAATCAGAATTAAAGAAGTTAAAAAATGATGCCACTGAAATTTTGGCAAGTGCTAAATTTGAATTACAAGAGTGGGCATATAACTATCCTCGAAATAAAAGGGATGCATTTGTTGTTGAACCCATTTTAGAACAGTCGAAGCTTGATAAATTAAATGAGAATGAGTTTTTCGATGATCCTTGTGAAGCTAAAACGGTCAACATTTTGGGACTTCTTTGGAATTTGCATGATGACACATTAAGTTGTGATATTAAGGGATTAAATGAATCAAAAAACAAACCTGTTACTAAAGAAACAATTTTGTCTGAAATTCATAAAATTTATGACCCTATTGGATTCACCTGCCCTATAATTTTAATTCCTAAAATTCTGTTACAAAACTGCTGGGAATTAAAAGTAACTTGGGATGAAGCTCTTCCTGAAGAAATTCAAAGGAAATACATGAAATGGAAAAAATGATGCAAATCGTTTAACAGAAATAAAAATTCCTCGACAGATGATGCTTAATATTGATTCTGAATTGAAATTATCCTTTCATATATTTTGTGATGCATCCCGAATGGCATATGCAACCTGCGTTTATTTAAGAAATGAAAATGAAAATGAAGTTTCTTGTCATTTAGTTCAAGCACGATCTAGAGTTGCTCCTCTAAAACCCACATCAATTTGTAGACTAGAATTATTAGCTTGTGTTGTTGGTGCAAGATTAATGAAATCTATAAAACAAGATTTGAAGGAAGAAAATATACCTACGTTTTATTGGACAGATTCAAGGAACACATTGTACTGGATTAAGAATGAAGAAAATTGGGGTGTATTTGTTATGAATAGAGTGAAAGAAATACGAGCTCTTACTAATCCTGATGCATGGAATTATGTTCCTGGCAACTTGAATCCTGCGGATATTCCGTCAAGAGGATGTTCTGTTGAAACTATTAAAGCCAAAAGATGGCATGAAGGTCCAGCATGGTTGAAGTTGAATCCAGACTGTTGGCCTACTTGTGATATTTCTCCTGACAAAGATATGATTGATCGAGAAAGAAGAAAAACAGTTGTATCCTCGTTAACAAATGTAGATGAAGAATTTTCGCATTTCTCACGAATTTCTTCTTTTGAGAAAATAATTAGAGTTACAGCCTGGATAAAAAGGTATATTGATAACTGCAGAGATAAAAACAGAACAACGTCAAAGAACTTAGAAATCGAAGAATTGAATGCAGCTGAAGTCCTTGTTTGGAAAATTGTGCAAAGGGTCTCCTTTAAAACAGAAAAGGATAAACGCTTACGAAATTTAAAACCATTTGTTGATTCATCTGGTCTTTTAAGAGTAAAGTCAAGAATATTAATGAGACAAGACTTCGAAAATTTTAGAACACCTGTAATCCTACCTCCTGAACATCCAGTTGTCTCTAAACTGATTATGGAAAAACATGAACAACAAATGCATTGCGGAACTCAGACTTTAATGGCAATGCTACGAGAAAATTTCTGGATTTTGAAAAGTCGTAAAACTATTCGTAAAGTGTTGAAAAACTGCACTAAATGTAGAAGATTTGATTCGAGGCCCTCCACGGTACAATCCGCACCTTTGCCAAAGGACCGTGTTAAAGATTCTTCTATTTTTGAAGTGACAGGTATCGACTTAGCTGGCCCTTTGTTTTTAAAAAATGGATCGAAAACGTGGATCGTTTTATTTACATGTGCTGTATACAGGGCAATTCATCTTGAACTTTTAACGTCTTTGTCAACAGATAACTTTTTATTGGCTTTCCGACGTTTCATAGCACGCAGAGGAAGACCTGAAATTGTCTACACTGATAACGGTAGTAATTTTATTGGTACAAATTCGCTCTTAAAAATGATTGACTGGGATAAACTCATTAAAAATCATGTTGTCAACCGTTAAAGATTCTTCTATTTTTGAAGTGACAGGTATCGACTTAGCTGGCCCTTTGTTTTTAAAAAATGGATCGAAAACGTGGATCGTTTTATTTACATGTGCTGTATACAGGGCAATTCATCTTGAACTTTTAACGTCTTTGTCAACAGATAACTTTTTATTGGCTTTCCGACGTTTCATAGCACGCAGAGGAAGACCTGAAATTGTCTACACTGATAACGGTAGTAATTTTATTGGTACAAATTCGCTCTTAAAAATGATTGACTGGGATAAACTTATTAAGAATCATGTTGTCAACCGCATTAAGTGGAAATTTATCCCACCAGCTTCTCCCTGGTGGGGTGGATTTTGGGAAAGAATGATTGGCCTGATGAAAAACATTCTCAGAAAAGTTTTAGGTAATGCCTCACTGAAATATGAAGAACTCTCTACGATCCTCTGTGATTGCGAAAATATCTTAAATTGCAGACCATTAACTTATATTTCCGAGGACTTGGAACTGGAACCCTTGACACCTGCAATGTTTTTTCGTGATCTAAAAGAAAGTGGCGTTCCAGATCTAGATATTATTGATGCCAAATACTTACAAAAAAGGTATGCATATCAGATGAAGGTTAGAGAAGATCTAAGAAAACGGTTCAGAACTGAATACTTAGGACAACTGAAAAACCATATTTTAAAAACAGAGAAATATGTTAAACTATCGGTTGGAGACATTGTGTTAATAGAAACACCTGAGAAAAGAATTAAGTGGCCTCTAGGAAAAATTATAACACTCATCCCAGGAAATGATGGTGTAGTTCGTTTAGTAAAATTACGCACCAAAAGTGGCGAAATCCTTCGACCCATACAACGAATTTATCCGTTGGAAGTCCATTTACAAACGGATAATATAGGAGACTGTTTGAGAAAGAAGCGTTCTGATCAAAAAATGTGTGATAAGCCTACAACTTCTATTGGATCTACAGAGTTTCGTGCCACTGACAAAGATCAGTCAGATGAACTCAATCAGAATCCCCTCAAAACAACTAGATGTGGACGAGTGATTCGAACTCCTGAACGATTAAACCTAATGAACTTTCAACCAACCAGACTGTGGCTGAGTTTCAACTTGGTGAAACTCATCGGGGAAGTGTGTCGCGAACGACGCACGCTCCGCTCTTGGGGAACGGATTGAGCCTCCAGACCGACGAGAATTGAAAAAGAAAGTTTGTTTTTTGAGAACTGGCAACGATAAGTGTATGCTTTTAGAACAGTGACGCAGTAGACTAATGACGCTGTTAGATATGTAGAACAATGATGCTAAGTAGTTAGAAGTGTTTTTTGATAGTGTAATGATTTAGATATTGTTCCTCTTTTGTGTCAAATGTCAAATAAAGTGATTCATACAAAAGAGTGCCAATTTTAGATGAGTTTGGAACCAAATCGGAGTCTACTAAAGCGGCGGACCAGAATCGAAGAAAGCGGATCATAAAGGTAAGCAACCTTTCTTTATTTGCTTATCTAGAATTTTGAATGATCTGTTTTTTACTGAATTGAAAGGATAATACCGACCTGGGAACCCTTAGACTAAATTTAACTAAATATCCTCTTTTAAGCTAAGGCTAAATTAATCTTTAAAGCTAAAGTTAAATTTGCAAATTATCCTCTTTTTTGTGATTTTAATTAACGTGTATTTCTTATATTTTGTTTACTAAAGTACGTAATTTTTCATTTTTTGTTAATGAAAGCGTAGATGAAATTTTACTAACTGAAACTGAATCTTATAATATACTTGTAATTTTTTTAGTAGTAGTAACATTAGTTTTTCTTAACATGCACGATTTTTACGAAAGAATTTTTAGTTTTGCCACAGACAGTCTTAAAATTGTTGTCTTAAATTTCTGCACTTTATTTTTAAAAACCTGCAATTATAAGAATATGTCTAGAATCAATATTTAAAGGTAGAAGGTCGCAGCTAACTTTTTTAACATTCCATGCATAATTTCTGTGCAATAACGCTTTAATTTTACGTTTAAATTGAAACCACTAAGTTATATTTCAAAAATGAGATAATTTCTGTTGCTTGAAGACTAGAAGACTAGTAATATATGCCAGATATGTAGTGTATTTTACCTTAACTCCAAATTGGAGTCCATGTCTTGCAAATATCATTCATACAGCTTAAACAATTTATGCAATCCCACAACCAAGGTTAAATTTGAAGTGATTATTACCCTATGATTCAGTAAAGATAAAAAATTTCAATAGATAATCCGATAAATAATCTAATGCGATACGACATTGGTGATATGATTACAGGAACATATTGGTGGAAATAGTAGTCGCCAAAAGAATGATAAATGTTTCAAACAGAAGCCACGAATAGCAAAGTGAAAGTAAACGAGCCTTCGTAGGAAAAAAAAATTGCGTAGGAAGCATTAATCAACCACTGATTTTTATTCTTTCGTTAAAGAGAACTCGTGCGCTTATTCGTCGTTCCCTATCTAGCTTTATAACACAACACTAAGTAGCAATGCATCTCCGTAGCTTTTATTCTAAAATTTCAACAAAGTTACAATGAACGCAACTTCAAAGAAGTTCTTACGATTTCCTCAGTGAGGATACATTCATGTTAAATTTGCTTTTAAAATATATAATAAAATACAAGGGAAGCATTAAAATGTTTTTATCACTATAAAATTCAGCAAAAGATATTTATTCAGCAAAAGATATTTTCATTTGTGTATTTGTTGTTGCGAGTTAAAGAAAACTCAAAATGATCCTAAAATGCAAAATCTGCAAAGGGAAACACGACGGCTTAGATTAGCTCGGAAATTTAAATAAAAAATAATGTATTTAAAAGTAATAATGTATTTGGTATATCTACTCAATGCACGGTAAACGTAAGTATATATAGCTAGCTGAATTATAAATATGTATAGTGATTAAAATTTTCTTATTTTTTAATTTGAAAACATACAGACTCCCCGTGCACCCCATATGTACTACAACACGGGGCTTACAGAAGTAAATTAAGTAAAACATTAAAACTTACATGCATAAATAAAACGAACAAAAGCAGAGAACAACAGTCTGGACTTAGCGCAAACAGATAAGTTAACTGGTCAAATCACTCCGAACATTTTCAAATCGTTCTGCAAGCATAATCTAGGGCCAACAAATGTAGGGCATAAGAAAATCAAATATTCCACATCCTGAGGTACTCTTTTTGAGCATTCACATAAATTTTTTGATCTTATATTAAAACGAAACAGGTAACTTGCAAATTTATCGTGACCAGATAAAAACTGAGAAACTTTAAAATAAACTCGGAATGCAGTCTATGGTAAATAGAAGGAAAGAACTTTTTGGTGACCTCAGCATTACAAGATGAAATATATTCCTCATTCCACTTAGCTAAAAGCTTCTTACAATGAAAGGACTTCTAATAGTTCTTTGGAATGCTAATGTTCATATCAATGAGTAAATTTAAGACATCTTTAGCTAAGAAATCAGCTCTTTTATTCCATAGAAACCGTGATGAGCACGCACATAAGCAAAGCGGATATCAATTCCTCTATTTCTAAGAGAACTGACAGTTAACAGAGTTTCGATACCTAATTTGTCGCAGCTGGTAATACTGTTCAAAAGTTGAAGAGAAGAAAGAGAATCAGAACAAATAAGGTACCTTGAGGATGTTGTCCCATTATCCTTGATCCCTTTGACGGCAAGATAAATACACAGAAGTTCTGCTTGAGAAGCTGTGCATTCATTCCATATGCGGTGTCTAAAGTAACAAATCTCGTAATGGCCTTCAAAAAGAACAAATGCAAGGCCAACCTTGCTGTTCATCTTGCTGCCATCTGTAAAGAAAACCATATGAAAACTCATTTCAGTCGTCTCTTTATAATCGCAGAAATTTATGGGCTATAAAGTAGCGGGATGAAGAAGATCAGTAGGAGACCAATTCCATTTATGCAGCCGTCCAAGGTATCAGTTGCCAATGGCTCGAAAATATTATTCTTATATGCAATTTCAAAATCAGTAGGCGGAACTCCTGCAAGAACAAAAATAGCCTCAATTATTTTATTTGCGTTTCTTTTGAGCGTTATGGAATCATTACTGCATTATGATTCAAATCATGAATCTCATAAAACTGATACAACTTTAAGCGAACCACACTTGAAAATCCAGATACAAAGCATTTTTTCTCTCACGTTTTAAAACGTTCTTTTGTTAGTTAAATAAAACGTGAGAGCCTGAGTTTAAGAAACTCCATCACGTACCGGGGGTGTTTACACATTTTTAGAACGATTTCGGGGCTGTTTAATTAAAGTTTAATATGCAAAGAGTATTCTTTTTTAATATTTTATCTGATACCCTTTTTTTTTGGACAATAAATCTCCAAAGTGATTCAAATGACAGAAGATCTTTTCGGAAAATTTCCAGGGCTATGGATTTCTATTCCTCTTCCACTACTTTCCACAGTCCAGTAGTCTTACTGGTTTGAGCTTAGAAAGAGCTCAAGAGACCAAAAAAACAATTGTCTACAGGTAAAATGTCAGAAACCTTTTCAGGAATGCGTTGAAAAATATATATATAAAATATTAATATAAAATATTATAATTATCGTCTTAATTTTTTCAAGGAATGCAGTGGTACTTCCCGAACTTTCACTTGTTACTTTATCTTAATGACGTTTCTGTTGGTATGCATATAGTGATGGACTGTCGCCAATAGCACGATAAACTGTATGAACTGGAAACCCTGCAAAAGAGTTAACTGTGTAACTCTCTTATTCTTTATATACTTACTTTTCTCACTCCTTCTGTATAGGACAGTGATATGATACTCTCTATAACATAACTCCTTTTTCAATATGTATTTGGAATACTAACGAATTTTTATCTATTTTTCATGTAATAATAAGGAATGCGTTTTGTGATCTTACAATTTCCGTCTACACCTATTTTGGATTACAAGTTAATTAGGTATGATCTCGCTTGATGCTGCGCTGGATACAAGGTAAGAAGAATCATTTTGCTCTCTATTTTTATTAATTTGTTGTGAAATTTCGAGGCTATGAAATGTTTTACAACAAAAGATTATGAGACTGATGAAAAGATCATAGCTAATTAAATAAGAAAAAAAAAAAAAAAGGTAAAAGCTAAACTGTAGTTTCATATTAAAACCGAAAATAAATTTTTCGACGAAACAAAAATGTTGCATTCAAGTCAAATGCAAATTGCAAAACTGAATTCCAGCAATTACTCAACATGGAAATTCAAAATGCAAATGCTAATAATAAAGGAGGATCTTTACGATGTAATCGAAGATGTACCTCCTAGCCCCATTACAGAACAATGGAGTAAACGGGATCGGCAATGTCGTGCGATGATAAATTTATTTATCGAAGACAGCCAAATAATTTACATTAAACATGAAACTACTGCTAAAGCCACCTGGGAAAAGCTTAGACAAGTAGATGAAAGGTCTAATCTTTCAACTAAACTATTTCTTTTGCGAAAGCTTTACAGTTTGAAGCTTGAAGAAGACGGAAATATGCAAACACATATAAACACATTACTGGAGTTAGTCGATAAACTCAATTCAATAGGTGAGAACATAAAAGACGAACACGTTTCGGCACTTTTGCTTTGTTCAATGCCTAGTTCTTACGATACGCTCATTACGGCTCTTGAAGCCAGAGCAGAATCGGAACTGAATCCAGAATTCTTAAAAGGGAAATTAATTGACGAATTTAACAAGAGAGTTGAAAATAATTCATCAGATTCAAAGGCATTTAAAGCCTCATTTCAAAACAAGACAAAGAGAGAAAAGTTTTGCTCATATTGTCATAAAAATAATCATTTTAGATCAGAGTGTTATCATCTAAAATCGAAACAAAGAAATGAACCGCGCCAAAGCTCAAAGAAAACATACGCGGATTCTAAAAAACGCCAAGCAAAGCATGTCGGTAACCTCGCGATGAATCAACAACAAACAAAAATTAAAACACCGGAAATCGAATCCAGATGTGACAGCGTCGCTATGTCTATTAACTACAACACCGTACTTCAAGCATCCGAGAGTTTTATTTCGACGACAGCGGAGCAAGTAATCACCTGGTAAATAATAAGAAAGCCGTCACGGATATCCTTTGAAACACGTAAATCCGTCAGATATTATATCTGCGAATGGGCAAATGTATTAAATCAACGGCGATAGGGAACTGTCCTTGTTTTAAAACATTAAATGCTAAACAAAAAATAACTGAAGTTCTATTATCGGAAGCTTTTATACGCTCCTGAATTAGAAAACCGAATTTAATCTCAATTAAGAAAATAACAGGAAAAGGACTTTCCGTTCTGTTTGAAGGAAATAAAAACGTATGATCGCGAAAGGAGATCAGATTAGTTCTAGAATGTCACGCAACTTAACAATCTTTACCAAACTTAAACCAATAGACAGGAATAATGAACCATCAGTTCATG